AAGAGCTCTGGCCAAGCCTGACGTGAGTCTGGCTTTCTCAAGTGTGGTGGAGGTCAGTCTGTCTCAGATCCCCGACCCCAGGCCTCCTCACCTGGCTCCACAGCCTTAGCTGCATCCTAATTAGCGCTGGTCCAAGCAGGAAAGGCAGCTTCATTGACATTGAAATGTCCCCAGGGGACATGCTGATGTCAAGGGACAACTGAGGTGCTTTTGAATGTCCTAGTAGAAGAGTTAAATGCACAAAGTCTGCACGTGCCAACACGTTGTGGCCTGGTGGAAATTCAGATTTGGAGGCATCCTTAGCTCCATCACAACATGTTACACCTCTCTGTAATACATTATCTATCATTGCCTTGTTGGGACTCTATTGAAACATAGCAGTTTGGTGTCTCAAGGCACTCCTGTGCTTGCCTTCTCTCCTTTTGCCCCTTTCAGTCCCTTCTGGGTAGGTGCGGGGGGCAGACAGATGGCACCAGCCCTCCCCCGTTGTTCCTCCAGCCCCAATTCAGCTTCCCCAGACAAGGGCAATATGTTTGCGGTCATTCGTGCTCCTCCAACAGGATCCCTGTGGTATTCCTCCCCTGCTCTGAGACTTATCAGGGCCGAGCAGGGAGGTTCAGGCTCCATCCCACATTCAGATGCAGCCTCCTCCTTGGGCTTGTTACATTAGTGCCCCCAGAGGCTTTGGCAGAACAGCCACCAGCATCCTGCGCGGCGGCCCCAGGGGAGGAGGTGCTGGTGTTAAGGGAACATTTCAAGTCGAGTTTGATAAATGAGCTACAATTTCAGGCCTGTGAACAAATTGCCAGTTGGCTTCCCCTCTCCAGTAGGATGGCAGGAATCAGCTGCCTGTTGCTCTATTTATTGTGTTGCTCTTTGCCCCACAGGCCCCAGGGGACTCCAGGACTCCAGCTCCTGATGACTGCAGAGGTGTTTGAGTGCTTTCCTGCACTCACAATTGAGTTTCTGGCCTTTGAGAGCTGGAGGTCTGGTCCAATTCCATGCTGTGGGATGAGAAAATACTGAGACCCGACCTAATGCAAACCACAGATGTGGGCTACCCCCAAGGGGCTACCCCAGCAAGGAACAGGCAGGAGACGGTGAGTATCAGTCCACAGTCAAGCAATTGGGAGAGCTGCCCCTGCTCCCTGATGTGATGCTCTGCGTCCATAATGCTGTTAGTTGCCTGTGTGCTGGCAGTGCCTGGGGGTCAGCTGTATTGCAGACACACAGGAAGAGACAGCTTTTGCCCCACGCAGCCAGCCCTGCCCCATGGCTTATACCAGCCCCTGTATGAGAGTGATGATGACTAACGAGATTGATCCAACCCAGCAAAGCTGGACACTGGGGCTGTAACGTCCCCCATAACAGTCCCAAGGTGCAGCTGTGTCTTACCTTGCTGCTGCAGCATCGGCTTCTCCTCCCCAGTCTGTTCCCTGGACGGCTTTTGAGCCTCTCCGTTCAGGTTGTGTCCCAAAGCAGATAATATCCCTGAGGCCTCCCCAGGCCATTGTATGTGGTCTCCGCGCCATCCACAGCAGGACGGCCCATAGTCGGGGCATGGCTAATTCCCATGTCAAATGCCTTGCGACAGGCACATATAGACAGTAAGTTGCTGGATCAGCTGTTGGAGTTTTACCCCCAAAGGACTTGGCCTGGAGGGTTTTTAGTCCCTTTCCTTGCATTCAGCTCCCATCCAGCGAATCCCCACCTCGGCGAAGCACGGAGAGATGTTCTTGCAGATGCACTACTTTCAGGTAGATCTCCCCAAATCCGTCAGGCTAGCCGGGAGTGTGATTTCCTGGACGACTTCTTTGTCCGAGTGCTGCATGGAAATCGAGCGGGCTGCATGGCCAGAGGCTTGACGTGTGGATGGTAGAAAGTTAAGGTTAAAAACCAGCCCAGGTTCATTCCTCAGTGCAGACGTGCTCTTAGGAGACGAGGACGGCTTTTTTCTTACAGACCAGGAATTGAGACGCAGGCAGCAGAGGAAGAGGACGAGATGAGGAAGACCTGCCAGGGAGCCGTGTTAATGCCTCACAGGGAAGCTCTTTTCTTCACCTGTAACAGGTGTGGGGTGCATGGGGAGCTAGGCCCAGGGCAACTAGGATTTGAACCTTTCAGAGAGCAGGTGGTCTTTAGAAAGCAGATCAGGGGGCATCCAGGCTGTAAAGCAGAGGTCTGGTCTGACCTGATCCCCATCCCGATCTCTCAGACAGATTCCCCTGTTAACTACCCCTCAGTCACTGAGATGAAGCTGCACGTGTTATTTTGACTTTGCCTTAGGGATGAAATGCAACTCGAGGCTGTGAAGGGGGAGAAGCCCTGGCAGGGACGAGCATGGAAGCTGCAGGGGCTTCTATGGGGCAGGGAATAGCCAAAGGAGCCCCGAGGGCTGGAGAGACGCGAGGGGGTAAGACTGGTGCAGGGTAGGACGCTGCCGAGGGGCCGTAGGGGGAGGGAGGACTCTTGGGCAGGGAGTGAGTGATGGCTGTGGAGGCGAAAGGAGAAGGAAATGGCTAGGTGATGTGGGGGCCACGTCTGCAGGGGAAGGAGGCTGTCGCGGGGCCCAGAGCTGCGTCTGAGGCAGCCTGCTTGCATCGCACTGCCCTGCCAGCCGTGCCAGGCTCGCTGCAGCTCGTGCCCGTGGAGCCGCCGAGGAAAGGCCACCAACCCCATCAGTTATAGCGTGGCCCAAGACTGCGGCCTCTGTCATCCAGCCAGAGCCTGTGACTCAGTCTCGCTGCCGCCCCTTCGGATGTGAGCCTTACTCGGTGCAGCCCAGCCCCTGGGAGAAGCGCCTTGGGTTGTTCCAGCTGGGAGCCGCCAGCCAGCCTTAATGTCTGGGCAGGGACCGTCTCCACAGGCCTGCTCCCGGAGGAGATTACAGTTAGCTTATGGTATTTCTGCAGGCTAAGCCCCTCTCGCAGCTGACACCGCAGGCCTCAGGGTCCTCTCCGTCGCAGCAAGTCTCGCCTCCTTATTGATAGCAGAGCTTTTCTTCTGCTGTCTGGAGTCACCTCCCGGGACATCGCCTTGCCTCTCCCTTCAGCACGTGCTTGTGACACTGTACTGTCAATGAGGCATCTCTGGTAAAAGCCTGTCCAGAGGACAGAGCACCATGCACAACCGAATTCGCTCAAACAATTAAACTGCCTCCAAAGCAGAGACTGGACCCTGCTACCTCTCCACCGTCCGCCTTGCACGTGAGCTCGTGAACCCTACGGGTCAGTTCTGCCCCTGAAGCAAGAGGCTAGGATTTGCCTCCTGCCTGTCCATTCTCCCAGCCCCATCCCAGACTGAATGCAGCAGGATAAAAGCCCAGTTTCTCTTGAGCAGTCAAGAGCATTTTCCCCATTGGCCCTCCTTTGCTGTGCCTCCACACCTGAGTAATTCAGCCACAGGTCACCTGGCACGTCCCATGCCTGGATTAGTAACTAGGGCTTGGTACTCGGCTGCCTTCTGTCGCCAGGCTGGGAAGCACTGATAGAGCCCTTTACACGAGGGCTGTTAAGCCTATTCTGATAAACCAGCACAGTCATGCTGGGAGGGAGCTGGAAATGTTTCACCCTGGGTCAGAGCGTGGAAGTCAGCAATGAATGCATCTCCCTGACGTCCCAGGACATGACATGACAGGCAATCAGGGGGCTGCATTTCCTGAGACAATTTCATGGCTGGAAAATGCTGTCGTTTAATGCTCTCTGCCAGCCATTTGGCATAAAGAAGTTCTTTGTATGTCTTTTAAGGAGAGAAGCGAGGTTTTCTTTCAGTGCGCACCCACCCAGGGGCCTACGTTCTCCCTGTGCTCGAACGAGCCGCTGAGGGCGTTAAATCGGCGTCGGACACTAGACGGGAGAGCTCCACCACCCTGCCGCGTGGCTCATCGTTGTTTCGAACAGCGGTGGGATTGCCTGAGCTGTTAGCAGTTGCAGCCAGAGCGGAAAGCAAGAGAACATGGTTTTAATTCTTAGCTCTGGCCCCAATTCCCCGTGTCCTCTTGGCCAAGTCACATTGGTAAAAACAATCTGTTCTTACCTAGGACCCAGGAGCAGGAAGGGGCCTCCTGGGCCATTCAAAGTTTATCCTGGCATTCACGGATAAACCTTTACCAGAGGATCCCCCCAAATTGCCATGTCAAACCTTCAGACTCGATTACAAAAGATGCTGGGACCAGAGAAGGACCCAAGCTGCAAAGCTGGGGCTTGGAGATGGCTTCATTTCCTTTTATCAAGCTGGCCAGGGGAGCAGTATAGTGTTAGGATCAAAATTAGGAGGAGATCTGAGCTTTGGGTCCTCATTGCAAAAGGCAGAAAGGGATCCCATATAGAGGGGGAGGGAAGGGGCACGTAGGCTCCTGTGTTTGCCCCTACAGGCACACACCCACCCAGCCCTGCTCAGCACCATTACACCCAAAAGTCCTGGGCCTCAGACCTGTTGTGCCAACCTGTGGCCTGGCACCAAGGTAAGTTTTCAAACACCCGAAAGCCAAAGCTCGTATGAAGGGAGTGCCAGGTGAGTGAGCATGTCATGGCGAGCGGCACTGTTGGAAGAGACGAGACTGGGCTGCAGAAATCAAGATCCAAACATCTGCTGAGCTTGGGGTCCTTGAGACACAAGCTGGAGATGCAGGCTCATCTGTAGCTCTTGGTAGGACAGGAGGTTTAACTCCTTCCTCCGCACTTCCTGCACTGGCCGTAGGATGCTGGACTAGCTGGGCTGAGGGCCTGGTCTTGCAGGGACAGCACAGCTACCAGCGACAGCTACAGCCAGTGCCTCGCGTGTCCTAGTGTCCGAGGCGGTGAGTTATAGGGCCTAACCCTTTACCTCCCACGTGAAAGACTTTGCAGGACAGGCACATGGCAAGCCCAGAGGTACTGAAGTTGCCCACTGGAGCAGCCAAGTGGTCACACCCCTCCAAAGTCTAATTTGCCTTTGATACGGACTTAATTGTTTGCGTCACCTGCAGGGCTAGGGGGAGGGCTATATAAGGGGCTGCAGCCATTGTCTGAGGCACAAGAGAGCCCAGAAGCAGCTCCCCCTCCCAGCCGTCCCTCATCCAACGCAGCAGTCACAGCCTGTACGTCATGCAGCTGGTGGCCAGCCTGGTGTCCGTGCTGCTGCTGGTGTGGAGCATGCGAGCCACGGCATTGCCGGGGGAGGAGAGACTCTCGCTACAGAACAGTAAGGTGAGTATGGTGCAGGAGCTGGGATGGGGTGGGACACGTGGAGAAGCAGCCTGGAGGGCCGAACAGGGCAGGCAGGACTGCTGCAGGGCTAATCCTCTCGACTTCTTTATATTCCAAACCACCGCTGCTTTCCAGAGACAGCTGCAGCACGCGGAGCTGTTGGCGGAGCCGGCTAGCCAGTTGATTAAAAGGGGAAAGGATCAAAGACAGGCTCTAGGGGAAAGTGTGGAAGCAAAGTCTGTGCTAGATGAAAAATGACAATGCAAAAAGGAGAGAGAGGAAAGGGGAAGGGGAAAACACAAGTGCTAAAAGAGTACAGCCTGGCGGAAGAAGGCAGAGCAGTGAGAGGCAGAGGAAAGAGCAAGTACTCAGTAAAACGATCAAAGGACTCTCTATTTTAAAGCAGACGCACAGGAAGAGAGAGCGAGACAGAAAGGACCGGACACAGTAGGAGAGGAGGAAGGTGGAGGAACAGTAAGTGGAGTAATCCTACCAGAATAAAGTGACTTCAGTCCAGAATAAGGTCCACATGTAGAGCTGAGCCAGCAGAGCTATAATGGTCTAGCTCCCCTTGACCAGCAGAACTAGGCTGGTAAAACTCTTACAGAGACACCGTTACACGATTGACTGCCAAAATGATAACACGATAATAGCTATAACTGTGGTGCCGTCACTCTGCCCATCATTTTCTCGGGGTAGACGAGTCCCGGGAGATTCCACAAAGGAGAGGGAACGATCCCCATAAAATAACTCCCTGGGACAGTGTCTCTGCCCCATGCCATGTGCCCCAGCCTGGGGCTCTCGAATTCCTCACCTGTTCGCTCTTCTCCGGCACCTGCTCGGCCGTTCTCCTCCGAGCTGCTCGTTGGATTAGGCGCACTGCTGTCTCTAGGAATCTGATTCATGCCCCTGTCCATGGCACGGCTTACATCTGAGCTGCACACACAAGCTGAGGAGCCCAGAGTTGATCTGAAAGCCACTGGCTTTTCTCTTGTGTGTATCTGTTTCGTGTTACTGCTCCTTCAGTCTCAGCCATGTCTCCAACTCATCCATCAGTGTCGTAGTGCTTTAGGAATGGCCTCAGATCCCAGTAACAACAAGGAAGAAAAGGGGCTGCCAGAAAAAGGCGCCGAGAGTGTGAGATCTCGGGGACAGCGTTCCCTTAAAGAGCAGCGCTTGTGGGCAGGCTGGTATTAACCCAATGGGGGATAATAGGATCTTTCTGCTGTCAATTTTTACAAGAAGAAAAAATGCCAGTAATTTATTTTTTAAATTAAAAGTCCCTCCTTTGTTTGATAAATACCTTCAGATACAAACTCTAGCTCCAGGAAAGAGGAAAAATCATATGGCTGATGCCAGTAATGAATGCCTTGATAAGAATGAAGTAGGGTAGTTGGTTGTAGCCGTGTTGGTCTAAGGACATAAGAAGGCAAAGTGCTTTGGGTAGATGTGATATCTTTTATTAGACCGACTAAATAGTTGGAAGAAAGTTCTTTGCAAACTTTTGGGTACAAACACCCTTTTTCAGGTTTTGGGACTCCCAGTGCTTGAAGGAAGGGTGTTTGCACCTGAAAGCTTGCAAGAACTTCTTTCTAACTATTTAGTTGGCCTAATAAAAGATATCACATCTACCCAAAGAACAGAATGAACAAAGTTGTAATCATTCTCATTCTGAATGTCATCTCCAACACAGTGGCTGGCAGAGAGAATAACTGGTTTTTGAAAATGTTTTACAAGCTAGATATTAGTAGGCCCTCATTAATTGATACAGATACCGGTAGGTAGGATATATCAGAATCCATATTCAGGGAAATCTCTCCCTACTAAGGGCTTCAGGTTTTGAGGTGTTAGCATTTGAAGAGAATAGAAAATTGCAAAGGTAACTAATGATGATAATGGTATGTGTATCTCGGGGGCTTGTTGGGGATCGTATCGAGACACCCGAGAAGCAGGAATGCTAACAGACTCCAGCTGCTCTGAGCTCACTACCTGCTGATGGGGTTGTCTAGATTTTTTGCAATGCAGAGCACTGTAGCACAGGGGTGTTAGCATAGGACTAGGGCAAAGGAATGAATCTCTCCTCGAAGGCGCAAAGACATTCCCCTTTGCAACAGCAAGGGAGTCTTGTCATCCTGCTCCATTGCAGCTGTGATCTGGCTCTGAAGCCTTTTGACCTGTTGTTGGCTGCGCCTTGTTTTCAGCCAGCACCAGCATCCGTAACTCTTTCGCCCAGCTCATTCCCAAGGCGCCAGATCTTTGGGCGACAACACAGCAGAGTGTTATTAGGTATCAGCTGTCTGCAGCTCTGGCTAGGGCGGATATTTCCAGACACAGAGCTCACAGCTGGGATGGGATTTAATAAGGAAAATGCGACCTGAGCATTTCTGCTAGGCTAGGACTGAAGAACCCATCTTCCATACAGACAGCTTTGTGGCTAAGATGCGGGACTGGGAGACGGGGGACCTGGTTTCTGTCTTCGGCTCTGCTGCAACCGTGAGCGCTTAACTTTTCCTGCCTCGGTTCCCCATCTGACAACAGGAGTGAGAATTCAAGCCAGGCAACTGCCTCAATAATTGCCTACTGAGATTCCCTGAAATAAAACCTGACCCTTGCTTTGACTGTGTCTGTGCCCCCCTTGCGCTCGCTCCCAGTGAGTGGGCTCACCAACGACAACACTGAATATCACACAGGAAGCAAAGGCTGAATTTGCAAGTGTGAAGATTCACACAGGAGCCTGCTTGCACGAGTCCCATCCCTCCAGGCAGGGAAGAGGAAAGCTCACTAACAACCGCTTTGCCCTACAAAACCCTGCTTCCTTATGATCCACAGGCAAGAGATCCTTCCTTAGATCTAGTTGGTTGTAAAGTACAGGCTAGCACCACTAAACAGTGATGGCTCCGGTGCCCTTTGCACTGATCGGGATCCTTACAATCCAGAATTACTGGCCAGGCCCTACTCTGCTCCTCAGTAACAGAGTAGCTGAGTTAAATTTCTTTGGATTTACTGGCTTAACAGAGTTGGGTATCTTGCATTAAGTTCCCTGAAAAGAGATGATTCACGTCACCTCTTTATTCCAGCCATCTGGGGCTACCTCTCCCCCAGCCCCGGCTTCCTCCTTTGGGCACTATGCAGTGTTCGCTCAGGGAGATTGCAGCAGCTCTGCTCACTGTCATAACAGCTCTCGGCCCTCTGTCACCTCAGAGCCTTCTAGCACAAGGACAGGGCAAGGAACATGGCAGGATGACCCAATCGAGGGGTCTGAGCATAGGTCTGGGAGCCAGGAGCTCCTGAGCAGTAATCCCAGCCCTGCCACTGGTGTTTTGGGCACGGCACACTACCTCGGTGTCTTGGCTTCTCCACCTGCAAGGTGGGGTAATAATGCTTTCCTGCTGTTCCTAAATAATGCTTTCCTCCTGCTATCCTCAGGAGGATTTACTAGCTTGAGACCAAGTGCTGCATGAGGCCCGAGCACTATTATCCCATAGGAGTTTGTGGCGAGAGGCAGAGAATCCCGTCCCTTTCTTACGTCTCTCCAGACTTGAAGAAGAACCAAGTTGTCTGGGCACTGAGCAGAGAGCCACGCAGGGCACCATGCCAGAGCATCTGCTTTAGACCTCCTTCCCCACGCATGCTGTCTTTCCTCTGGGCCCTGGGCCAAGCAGCAGCAGCCATGGGATATGGGGCAGACAAATGAAGAATGGGATGGGACACCTGGGACTGGGACTCCAGCCACCCCTGTAACCCCCTAGAGCAGGGGTGGGTAATTATTTTGGGCAGAGGGCCGCTTACTGAGTTTTGGCGAGCCATCGAGGGCCGCATGACAGGCAACCCGGGGCAGATTAATATTAATTTTCGAAATTTTTAGGGGCAGCAGGGGGCAGATAGAATGGCATGGTGGGCCGCATCTGGCCCCTGGGCTCCATTTTGCCCACCCCTGCCCTAAAGACTCCCATCCATCATAGATTCATAGATTCATAGATTAAGGGTCGGAAGAGACCTAGTAGATCTTCTAGCCCGACCCCCCACCAGGGCGGGAGAACAACAAAAACCCCAAAACAAGA